ACTACTCCTCCATATTCACCTTCTTCTAATGGTGTAGCTGAACGTAAAAATTGTACTTTAATTGATTTGACTAATGCTATGCTTGTTAGTTCATGTGCACCATCTAATTTGTGGGGTAAAACTGTTTTGACTGCATGTTATATTTTAAATCGTATTCCTAATAAGAAGACTAACCTGACTTCTTTTGAGTTGTGGAAAGGCTATAAGCCAAATCTTAGCTATCTCAAAGCTTGGGGATGCTTGGCTTATGTAAGATTGACAGATACAAAAAGATCAAAGTTGGGTGCAAAAGCTGCGACATGTGTATTTATTGGCTATGCAACTACAAGTAAGGCATATAGATTCCTTGATCTTGATTCTAATGTTGCTATTGAATCTGTAGATGCTATATTTCATGAAGATAAATTTCCTTTTAAACTTAAGAAGGATGGAAGTCATGATTTTACAAAACAAAATGATTTTGAACCTAGTTCCTCAATTTCAACTCATTTTCAAAACCAAGAGAACATGGATTTTGAACCTAGGAGAAGTAAAAGAACACGTAAAGAAAGAGATTTTGGTTCAGATTATTATGTATATAATGTAGATGGAAAACCATTGTCTTTTCAAGAAGCTTTAACTTCTTTTGATTCTGATTTTTGGAAAGAATCTATTAATGATGAAATGGATTCTTTGATTTCTAATAAAACTTAGAAGTTGGTAGATTTACCTCCTGGTTGTAAAACAATAGGATGTAAATGGGTTTTGAGAAAAAAACTTAAACCGAATGGAACCATAGATAAATATAAAGCAAGACTTGTTGCAAAAGGTTTCAAACAAAGGGAGGAACTAGACTTTTTTTATACTTTATCACCTGTAACAAGAGTGACTTCCATTAGAGTGCTTATAGCTGTAGCCGCCATTCATAACATGCTCATCCATCAAATGGATGTTAAAACAGCATTCTTAAATGGAGACTTGCATGAAGAAATTTACATGGATCAACCTGAAGGTTTTGTTATGCCTGGCCAAAAAGACAAGGTATGTAAATTGACTAAATCTCTTTATGGTCTGAAACAAGCTCCAAAACAATGGCATGAGAAATTTGATAGTTGCTTGATTGAAAATGGTTTTAAATCAAGTGAAAGTAATAAATGCATATATTTTGGAATTTTCAATAATTATCATGTTATTATATGTTTGTATGTTGATGATCTCTTGATTTTTGGTTCAAATTTAGAGGTGATTGACTCTACTAAGTCATTGTTAAATAAGCATTTTGACATGAAGGATTTGGGTGAGGCTAATGTAATTCTTGGCATGAAAATAACTAAAAATTATGATGAATCTTTCTTGATCAATTCCATTATATAGAAAAAATTTTGAAGAAATATAACTATCATTATTCTAGACACGTTATGACGCCTTTATCACCCAGTGTGCATTTGTATCCCACTTTACATGATAGAGATATTATTAATCAAAAGGAATATGCTAGTATCATTGGTAGCTTACGGTATCTTACTGATTGCACTAGACCTGATATTTCTTATGCAGTTGGAATGTTAGGGAGATTTACTAGCAAGCCTAATTCTTTTCATTGGGATTGTGTTAAACACTTAATGGGATATTTATGTGCTACCAAAAATTATGGTTTATTTTATCAAAGATACCCTGCTATACTTGAAGGATTTTGTGATGCTGATTGGAACACCTTGTTAGGTGATTCTTTACATGTTTCAGGGTATATTTTTAAGATTGGTGGTGGTGCTGTGAGTTGGAAATCTAAAAAACAACAAATAATTGCAAAGTCAACTATGAAGCCAGAGATGATATCATTAGCACTAGCTTCTGAAGAAGCTAGTTGGCTAAGAGATTTGTTGTTTGAAATTCCTCTATGGGAAAAACCAGTGCCTCCTATACTCATTCACTGTGATAGTACTGCTGCCATTTACAAGGTGAATAATCGTTTTTATAACGGTAAATCCAGTTTATTCGAAGGAAACATAGTATTGTGAGGTCATACTTGGACAATGGGACAATCCACGTGGATTATATACCATCAAGTGAAAATATTGCTGATCCATTTACAAAAGCTCTGGCCAGAGAGAAGATCTGAATTACATCGAGGGGAATGGGATTGAAGCCCAAGGAATGTGGAACTTCCTATGAGGATACCCAACCCAATTCTTGAGAATTTGGGTTTCGAATGGGAAAAACAAATCATAGAGAGGTCGTTGTTGAAAGATGCATAAAAAAAAATATTTCCATTCCCAAGATGTAGATGCATCTATCCCATAACGTATGTGAGGGTTGAGTGTTATACACTCTTAATGAAATTTGTAGCTCATTGAGTGGGGTGTCTTAGTTATGGGAGCACCCTTGACAAATTTCACCTATATAGATGTCGGAGTCGGGCCGCTCCTATGAGAATAAGGCTATTCTCTAGATCATCCATGAATACAGGATTAGGCACAAAGGCCGTAATGTGCCGGCTTACAAGCTCAAATTAACACCTAGATTATAATGTGTGTAATATGGTCTCCTATATCCTCTAAGTAGTCCTAGTTCAAGACTTTGCTCACTAGTGACTTTGGGATAGGAATCATTGACTCACTAAGTAGAGGTTCAAGGCATTGCTACCTGTATTATGCATAATAATCCATCCTTGCCTATAAATTCTTTATCTTCTAAAGTTCTTATTTTTAATTAAAATGGAGGGGAAATGTTATAAATTTTAATTTTAAAAAAATGTAACCGATTATTCAATTTTAGTGGGTTACAAATCCAT